TATCATATATACAACTAATATATATATATATTATTTTATTATACTTATATAAATATATTTATATATATTATTATTTTTTTACAACAGGTTTATATACAAACTTTTAATATTATTTAGTTATTTATTATTTACAACTATATTTACAACAGTTTACAATATATTATAAAAGTAAAACAGGGTGTACAATTATTACATTTACAACAGTTGATTATTATTATATTATATATATATTATATATTTTAGTATATTTATGTATATACAAATATATATTATATAGACTACAACAGTAATATTATATTATTATATTATAATATTATATTATATTATGTTATTATTTTATTATGTACAACTATATACAATTTATTTATATATACTTATATATTTTTATTATGTATTATTATATACAACATTAATAGGGTGTTATTTATTACAACTGTATATATTACGTATTATATATCTTGAATATTGATATATATTATTTTATATATATATACTGTATATTATACAACAGGTATTATTTCATTTAGATATGATATAATACTTATTATATATTAATATTTATATATTATATATTATTATATTACTTATTGTATTATAAATATAATATTTATGTAAACGTTAGTTATATTTGTTATACTATATTACAACAACTACAATATTTTATATATTTATTATTTGTTATATATTTACAACATTTACTATTATATACAAACATTATTTATTATATTTTAGTATTATTATACAATTACAACAGGTTTTTTTTTTTTTTTTTATTTTATTTTTTTTTTTTTTTTTTAATTACTTTTTTATTTTTATTTATTTTTTTTTTTTTTTTTTTATTTTTTCTTTTATTTTTTTTATTTTTTTTTATTTTTTTTACCTAAATCAGGTTTTTTTTTTTTATAATTTTGAATTATTTATCTATATGTACAACTAAATATTTTTATATTATATTACAAATTATATTAAACAGGTTATGTATTTTTATATTATTTATATTTTATTCTTATATATATCTGATTATATATTATAGGTACAATTCTCTACAATATATTTATACTATATACTATATTTATATACTATATACGAACAGGTATGAATCTCAGCCCCCAAACCCAGGCACGCAGAAACTGGGCTTGTTTTCCCAACAACTTAATTTGTCTTCCAAGACTCCATTCCACTGGGTTCCCTCCCTTTCCCTCAAGGTCACGGCCGCGTTCCAGAGGCTTATATAGCTGTGGATGGGGAGTAGAGCACAGGAGCCCATTCCCACTTCCCTCCGTCCACACGGCACCCCAGGCCAGGTCCTAGGGCACCCCTGCATCCCAGTGCTTTCTGCCCCCCCCCCCGCACCTTTCCATTGAGTAGGGAGGGAGGGAGAGATTCCAGGTGAGGGAAGTGAATGCCAGGGGTCAAGGAGACTCAGTTAATATTTAAAAGTAGGAGCCATGCACATTTGTGGAGGCGGCTTGCTCTGGCTCGGGCACAGCCAGGTGCAAGGTTGTGGGACCAGAGGGGAGGTGGGCGGAGGCAGAGGGCCAGACAGCCCAGAGCCTGAATGTCGCGCTCAGGAGTGTGGCCTTGGTTCTGGCTCCAGAAGTTGCTGTGAACACCAAGCGGCTCGTCCCGGGCAGCCGGGGCATCCTGTTCTTTGGAGGAGGCCTGGGCCCTCCCGCCCCTGCTTCCATCCAGGATGATGCTCAGAGCAGTGCCCAGCACTTGGTGGGCACCCCACAAATATCCACTTAAGTGAATATTTCACTTCAACAAGTGGCTTAAACAAGTCTTCTCTTAAACAAGTGGCTGCACGGCAGGTGAGGAGACAGGGTTTGGGGAGTGTCCTCAGAGGGGCTCTTCCGCTGGCTGCAGAAATCGGCTTCAGGCCACGTGCGCGGGACGGCGGTTCCCACCCGGGTACATTCGGAGTCTTGCTGCCTCCGTCCTGCTGCTCTGTCTGTTCCCTTCTCCTCTCTCCACGTCTTGGGAGGCTCTCAGGAGGAAAGGGGGTGCAGAGCACAAGAGGCGTGCGGTTGGGGCTGGAGAAGGGATTCTGCAGCGTCTGGAAGGCGGGTAGGAGAATCCACAGGTGGGAGACAAAGTTAGGGGGTTGGTCCCTTCGTGGTGGCTGAGAATGACACATAGAGAAACGATGCTGTTTTGACATTGCTTTTTCTGCGGGACTGCATTCCTGATGCCACAGGCCTGTCCTCAGACTGGGCCACGTGGGCACAGCTTTATAAGCGTTATGTCCCTGAGAACCCACGGCAGTCCCTGCCTCTGCCTCCACGAAGGAAGAGGAGGGGAGAGAGTCCCCTTTGGCCTGGCGTGCACGGCCCTGCTCATGTTATGCCTGTGCTCGCTCTTCATTCGGCAAACAGGTACCGAGATATAGACGGTACCTGCTCTTCCACTGCGTGATATTCCCTTGTATACATCCCACCCTGGTTCCCGAAGGAGACAGCTGTTATTTTTCTCCTGCCCAGCTTTCACTCCCCTTCCAGAAAGAGCACCTCCGTCTTCCTTGGATGCCATCCCCCCCACTCCCAGCCCCGCGGGTCTCGCAGGCTGGTCCTGTCCCCTTGGCCAAGAGCTGTCCACGGGGCCTGCCAGTCAGGGCCGCCTACCTCCACCTGCCCCACCCCGCTGCAATCCATTGTCCACGCAGCAGCTGGAGGATCTTCTTTAAATGTAAACAAGATTCTGTAATCCCTCTGCTGAACCACTTCGGTGCGAAGCCTCGCCCGCAGCCGGCACTCACAGTCCGCACGGCAGTGTGTGCTGTGCATGGACGACGAGTCCGTTTTGCCCTTGTGTGATGAGGACAGCTGTGAAGCACTGAAAGCTTGTTTTACTTTAAAGGCAGCTTTACCTGTCATGTAAATCAGAATAGGTAACATATACATATATGTTTTCATTACGTTATTTTTAAATGTTCACAATTTTATTTTGATAAATGAAAAATTAGAAAGATCATATCATGGCTGTCGGCTGAAGTCGACGCTCGGTTCATCTGTGGGTGACTATAGTCGACGCTTGTACCGAAGTGCTTAAACCCCTTCAAAGATCCTCATGCCAAACCTAATGCTCTTCACCAGGGCCTGGGAAACCTTGCTTATCTGCATGAAGTTTCAACGCCAGTGTTGCCTACGCACAAATACCCTTCGTGGCCACACGAGGGCGACTGTTTGCGGTCTCCATAGCACTCACCACCTGTGCCAGCTCAGTGTCCCCCTCGCCCAAGGCCAGCTCTCTCTCTTCTTCGCTTGTAAATTTTTTTTTAAATTTTGAAATATGAAGGGGGTATAATTTTTAACATGGATGGTTTAAATGCTTTGGTCGGTGCTCTAAGTGTGCCCATCACCTGGATAATGTTGCTCATTGTCCCTGCTGGGTAGGCTTTCACTGCTCCCCCTCCCCCTGCCCCTTCTTGATTTCCAAC